CTTCCCTGACTCACTCTGCCTTCCCAACAGCCCTCTGAGGACGGTTCAAGCATTGGCTCCGTTTTGCCATGAAGACGCTGAGGGGCAAGAACCTAGGAAGCTCTTCCCGGGCCACCCAGCGAAGCAGCAGAGGCGAGATTCCAGTCCAGACACCCCGGCTCCAGTGCCCATGCTTTCGATTCCTTCGCTAACAGGCAGAAATGTTCTGCATAAGACGTGGCTGGAACTTGTCCCCGTGGTTTTGCTCCCGAGGGGAGCAGAGGAGAGACCCTGGAGATCAGTGCAGACAGGTGGCATAAAGATGCCATCACAATGGCTCCAGGTGGCCTCATGTGGGGCCAACCTCGGGGGCAGGTGGCTGAAAGGTCTTTTCAGAGCACAGGTGCCTGATGTGAATTGGAGAAAGGGGGTGGGTATAGCAGCCATTAATAAAACGTGCCTCTGCCTCCCCACGCACCTCTAACACAGTCCGGTCTTTTGCATTCTGTTTTACAGCCCTTTGATACTGAATTTGAAGGATGGTCAGAAATAAAGGAACAGAGGCTACAGGGGCCAAAGGGAAGGGGGAAGACTTGGGAGGAGGGTGGAAAGGGTTGGGAGGTGAAAGGCACAGGCGAACATGGGGATGGGAATGGGAACCGGCAAGACTAAGAAGAGGCTCCCTTGATGAAGAAGAGGATTGAGGTCCTCTTCAGTTTGATTTCAAAGATGACAGCAGAGATGGAATGACTTTTTCATTCCCTTTGGTTGCTGGACTGTGCACCCTGAATACAACTCCCTCCAAACACTGGACCACATGCTTGTCATCAGGTTAGAGTAGAAAAAAGGGAAGGACATGAGCTTCACGGCTCATCAGGTTGGTGTGATGTGAAGAAAAATACTAGGGGGTGCAATAGCCTGGAGGTAGCCTGTTACCAAGGTCACCCCACATCCCCACCACCACCACCACCAAATTCCCAGACATTATCTAGGCTTCCGCAGGGTGTAGAACTGGAGAGTCCACACCAACATTTTTGAAGCTGTCAAGGGGTAGGAAGGCTCCATCTGACATCTGAATTCCATAGGAATCACTGACGACTAAAAAGGTGACAAGAAAGTCCGAGACAGCCCAGCCAGTGTGGCTCAGTGGTTGAGCATCAACCTATGAACCAGGAGGTCACGGTTTGGTTCTCGGTCAGGGCACATGCCCGGGTTGCAGGCTCAATCTCTGATAGAGGATGTGCAGGAGGCAGCCAATCAGTGATTCTCTCTCACCATTGATGATTCTATCTCTTTCCCTCTCAGTTCCTCTCTGAAATTAATAAAAATATATTATTTTTTTAAAAGAAAATTTGAGATTCCCATCCTCTCTCCTGCCAGCTAGAAACTGAGGAATAATGGAGACTGACGCACCGCTCTGGCTTCCGGCGGCTGGCAGAGTGTACCCCGCCAGAGCACAGCCTACGGTTATGTAGGAGGTGCATTAGCGCTATAGGTAGAGGCGGGGTCACTTTAGCAAGCCTGGTGGAGTTCATCTGAAGGCGGATGATTTCTTCGCCTTTGCCTCATTTCTTCGGTCCTTCCCAATTCCAGCAAGTGCCTAGACCAGACATCTCTAACCTCCGGGTGTCCAACCGGCTGAGTCCTCGAAGCCGAGGCAGCGTCTCCATGACGTGGGTTAGACAAGCGCGGCCCAGAAAGAGAGCTCTCATCAGATAAGCCGGCAAAGGCGCCCACTGGGACTTCCCGCTCTGGAGAATCACCTTACCAGTCCCTTGATGGAGGCTTCCTGCGTATTTCACTAGATCTGAGATACTGAGGGTGGACATCAGGCTGCTGTCTCTCTCCCTGGTGGCCCTTCCAGGAACCAGACCCAGCGCCTAAAAACTGCCGAGTCCCTACCAGGCACCCGACTGCCCGCGCTCAAAACTGACGAGTGGCCCTTGACTTCCATCCGGCTCTCACTCACTCCACACGTCCAGGCTGTCAGCAAGGCCTACTGGCTCTGTCCACCTAAATCTGTCCACTTGTCACCACCTCCACTGCCTTGCCACCTCCTGTCCTAGCCCAGCCGCCGTCATGCCCTGCCTGGGCACGGGTCACAGCCCCTCGCTGGTCTCCTGGCCCCCACTCCTGGCGCTCTGCACCCCAATGTCCACAGAGCAGCAGAGCCCTCCTGTTCAAACAAACCAGATCACGCCTCACGGGTTTAGTTCAGTGACTAGGGTGTTGGCCTGCAGACTGAATGGTCCCTGGTTCAATTCCGGTCAAGGGCCACATACATTGGTTGCAGTTTTGATCCCCGGCCCTGGTTGGGTGTATGCGGGAGGCAACCAATTGATGTGTCTCTCTTACAGCGATGTTTCTCTCTGTCTCTCCCTCTCCCTTCCACTCTCTCTAAAAATTAATGGAAAAATACCCTCGGATGAGGATTAACTAAAAGGAAATGAACAAAGCAGATCGAGTCGCGAGGCCCCCTCTCCTTCAACCAAACCCCAAGTCCTCACTGTGCCCGAAGCCCCTCCAGGTGCTGGGCCTGCCCACCTTTCACCCTTTTTCCTTCCTCTCACCCCTGCCCTGCAGGTGTCCTTGCTGGTCCCTGAACACACCAAACGTGTCCCTCCCCCAGGCCCGTGCTGCGTCTTCTCCAGCGCTGTTCCCCTGGCCAGGTGATGACAACCTGGAAGGCACTGGTGCTAGATCCCAGCTCCGTCCAGGCTTGCAGCCCTGCAGACTTTTATGTTTTTATGGCCAAGTTCAATGGTCTCCCCAGCGAGCCCACCTGCCTGAATGTCGGATCAGTGGGTCTCACCACCTCACGTGCTCGCTCCCCGGAGTGGCCCCATCCACAGGTGCTGCTGAAACCCCTGAAGGAATTGTGTCATCCTGACCGTTGAGGTTTATTTCCACTAAAAATACACTCTGAAACTGGGGCATGATGAAGGATTACTGACAAACGGGGAAGAGGAACAAATAGACTCTGAGGCCATCTGATTCCTCACTGAGTCACCTCCCAACATGTGCCAGGAGCGGAACGTCCCCCCTCTCGCTCACCACTGTCATCCGCTAACGTGCAGGCGGCCCGGGAGGCCCTAGGGGCTTCTGAGCCATCCTTAGGCAATGCCCCTGATGTCACGCAACCCCTCGCTTCACGAAGGAGTAAACAGAAGAGTGGCGACAGGGAAAGTGACTTTGCTCTGGGCCACATGTTTGGCTCGCTCCCAGGTCCGACCTTTGCCCTCTGGAGCTGTGTCTGCGCTTCCTAAGGAGGCGCAGGCCTCTCCGAGGGGCCGAGAGGACATCCTCGGTGTTATCAGTAAAGAACGCTTTCAGCTTCAAGTTACAGAAAACCAGATCCACGCCCGCTCCTCGGTGAGGGCTGGTGTTCACCTAAGGAGACTGGAGGCAGGGAGTCCCAGGTTGGGGCGCTGGCTCAGCAACGTTGGCAACTTCGAGAACAGGCCCTCTCTGCTCCGCCTTTCTGAGCATTATGACCTTTTATTCCCAAGCTGATTGCTTCACGTCATACAGCGGTTGCCACAGCTCTGGCTATCAGCCCTCTCTACCCAGAGTTTTGTTTTTGTTTTTGTTTTTAATATATTTTTATTGATTTCAGAGAGGAAGGGAGAGAGAGATAGAAACATCAATGATGAGAGGGAATCATTGATCGGCTGCCTCCTGCACGCCCCCCACTGGGGATCAAGCCCGCAACCCGAGCATGTACCCTTGACCAGAATGGAACCTGGGGCCCTTCAGTCCCCAGGCCAACGCTCTATCCACTGAGCCAAACCAGCTAGGGCTACCCAGAGTTTTAGTAAAGAAAAAATCTCCTTACATCTCATTGGCCAGAACTAGGTCACATGCCTGCTCCTACACCAGTCACTGGCAAAGGAGAATGAGATCATTGGGCTTGTTTTAACCAATCAGGACTCACCCCTGAGGCTGGTCACACTGCAGGGCCACCAGCCAGGGCTCTCTCTGCAGGGCCTCATCGGTTAAATGGGGACCATTCATTCCCACCACATATAGGTAGAGTGAGGATCGTTGAACAAAAACACACTGAGCCAGAAATATAATTCTTGCAATCGTGAGAAGGAAGAAATCTATAAAAATAGACCTTTGATCATTAGAGAAATACCTTCTAAGAAGAGATGAGCTGCAAGATGTTGCTAAGAGACGTTTGTACTCACCACAGACCAAGCTCCTTCGGGAGAATAAATCCAAGGAGGGAACTCCCAGAGTCACGCAGAAACCTGGGTGTTGAAGAGAGGACAGGAATAATGAGGACCTAAAAGGAGGGGAATGGAGATGTGGCTTGACTCCTGGGCTGCACCCGCAGCCCTGCCTGTGCGGCTGGGTGCTGAGGGTGCCAGGGCAGGCTAGAGGGACAGGGGGATTCGGGAGCTGCCTGTGGTTTTCTGGAAGGAGGCGCTGAGGGCAAGCTTTGGAAATCTCCAGGGAGAGGGTGAGGAGAGCCACGTGGAGGAAGGAGGCAACAAGCAGGGAGGTCTGGGCTGAGCAGGTGGGCTCTGGTCTCCAGGTCTGGAGGCAAGGGGTTGGGAGGCTGGGTGGGGCAGCGGGGAGAACCCAGCCTCCCAGGCAGGCACCTGGACTGCCCTCTCAGCTCCACCTCTGCCGCCTTGAAGGACCTGGTCAGATGCTCTAGTCTAGAGAGGTGTCAGCTTTCCTATCTGTAAAATGGGAGTTCTCATTCTCTCATTCATTAGCCACTCATTCAACAGACTCTTACTGAATTCCTGCATAGACGTGCCGGAGAATCTGGAGGCGGGCCTGGTGTCTGGACTCTCAGTGAGAAGGAGGCCCCAGGAGGTAGTAGGGGGCAGACCAGACTGGACCCTGGGGCCACATTATGGACTTGGTATTTTATCCTCAGAGAAATGGGGAGCCACTGAGTGGCTATCAGCAGGGTAACAACACGATCATTGTTGTGTTTCAAAAAGAAATCTCTCAGAAGGTTGGGGGCAAGTTACATGTCCATCAATAAGGGATCAAGTGAACAAAGTATGGGACAGCCATACAAGGAAAACCTATAGCTATTTTAAAAAAGAGCAAGGGGGTGACTCTTCACGTACAGAGAGGGCACAGGCTCCAAGATACACGAACTGAGCCAGGCCAGAGCCAAGCAGGGTTCCGCAGAGACCACCGTGTGTGGCACACCGCAGGAAGAGAAAATGCCTGCAGGTGACTGTTGAACAACACAGGTGTGAACTGCCCGGGCCACTTACATGCAGACTTTTTCACTAAATACTGTAAATGTATTTTCTCTTCCTTATGATTTTCTTAATAATATGCTCTTTTCTCTAGTTTACCTTATTGTAAGTATATCATACATATAACATACAACATACGTGTTCATTGACTGTTTATGTTATCAGTGAGGCTTTGGACAACAGTAGGCTATTCTCAGTTAATCTGTTGGGGAGTCAAAAGTTATATGTGGGTTTTTGACTGTGTAGGGGTCAGTGTCCCTGACCCCTGTGTTGTTCAAGGTCAGTTGTATGCATTTACATACTCATATATGCACAGAACACCTCTAGAAGAATTGTTAAGAGACTAGTAAGTATATTCATTTTCTCCAGAGAGCAAAGCCGGATGAAGGGGAAAAGAGGTAAAAAGGAGACTTTTCGCTGCACGTAGGTAGGTAGGTAGATAGATAGATAGATAGATAGATAGATAGAGCAAAACATTACAAATAAAGTGGTTCCTCTGGCTGATGGGCTAGAGCAGAGGCCAGCAGGTCAGTGAGTCATCGGCCGGAGCTGGTAGCTTGGCCTGGAGGGAGGTGGGGATGGAGAGAAGTGAATGGCGTCAAAGACAGGCAGGAACTAAGACAGAGTCCTCCCTACAGGCCCCCCTGCTCTGATCTGTCACTGTCTGAATGGGCATGAGAACCTGAGTCAGAAGAGACTGTCCCCGGGAGAGCTCTCCTCCATCACGCTGTCTAACGGGCGCCTGCTGTGCACCTGGTGGCAGGTGTGGAGCCTGGGACAGACAACCCTGGGGCCTGAGCATAAAAAGCAAGGGCTCCTGTGGGGAGGGGAGGACCCCTGAGCAGCCCCTCCCATCTTCACCTTTTCCTCACGGTCAACCTCCCTTGCAGAACCGAGGATGTCAGAGCTCTCAGGGGCCCTGCCTGTAGTTCCAGGAAAGCACATATGGTGTCCCACATGGTATTCCCACCTCAACTCACGTAGGGTAACCCCCTTCTACCTGCTAGCTCACGGGAAACATTTCCTCATGGAGGAAGAAGCTAACCCTTCAATTTACAATGTGGGGGGAGTGTTTCTTTATATATATACTAGAGGCCCAGTGCATGAATGCATGCACGGGTGGGGTCCGGCCAGCCCACCCCGATCAGGGCTGATTGGGGCCAGGCCAGCCGGGGGGAGGGGCCGAGGGAGGTTGGCCAGCCGGCCCCACCCCGAATTGGGCCGTTTGGCTGGCCACAGTGCACATCATAGCTACCGGTCATTCCGGTCATTTGGTTGCTTGGCTTTTATATATATAGATTAATTTATCTTACAGAGAGGGAAAGAGAGATAGAAACATCCATGAGAGAGAAACATTGATCAGCTGCCTCTTGCATGTCCCCTACTGGGGATCAAGCCCACAACACGGGCATGTGCCCTGATGGGGAACTGAACCAAGACCTTCCAGTTCCTGGGTCCACTGAGCCACACCAGCTGGGCAAGGGGGGGGCGTGTTTCTTGAATGGAACAGTTGACTTCTGGTTAGAATGCAAATGTCCTTGGGAGAGACAACATAGGAAGCTGTAATTCACCCAAGAAAAGTACAAAGCAACCCTCATGACGCTGTGAGCCACCTGGTCCCAGACAAAGGAGCACAGTTCACCAACCAAAGAGTAGTTCCAGTTCGGAAGTTTGTTATAAAGTCAAATATACCTTTACCATCTGCCCTGCAATTACTCTCATGTGTTTACACAAGAGAAATGGCAATACATGTCAACGCAGAGGCTTCTAGATGAATGCTCATAGCAGCTTTTTTTATAACAGCCATAAACTGGAAGACAACCCAGATGTCCACCCACTGGTGAATGGGTAAACTGTGGTACATCCACACCCTGGAATATTACTCAGCAACCAACAGGAGAAACGCGGCCACCGGCGGCCACATGGGTGACTCTCAGACACTGCATGTGAAGTGAAAGAAACCAGACACAAAAGGCTGATCGCTCTGTGAGTCCCATGGCCAGAGTGTGAAGTTGGTGGGAGCCAGGGAAGGTCCCAGAGAGAACCTGCCTGGGCCTGCGGAGGGAGGCGCGGAGGGAGCTGGGAGGTGGGCTGGGGGAGCTAAAACCCAATAGGTTTTTCAGATGCTCGTGATGAGCAGAGGAAATGGAGGGAAAGAAAGATCCCGGTCGCTAAAGCCAAGGCAGTTGCAGAATGAGGCCAAAGAAGGGAAGACTGGAAGGCAGGATCTGTCTTCTCGCATCTGCTGGGAGCAACGGCCCCAAGCCACAAGGCAGGATGAATGAATGAAGCCACCAATGAATTAAACCAATATTTATTCACCACCACTCAACCCCAGGGTCTGCGCCAAACGCTTTCACTAATACTAACTTATTTAATTTGTGTAATAAGCTTGTAAAATAAGTGTTATTCCTAAAGTCTCCCTTGGCAAACACATGGGGAGTGCTTACTCATGTGCCAAGCCGTCCGCTGAGCCCTGGAGACACAGATGCGAGAAGATAGATCTAACCAACTTGAACCCCCGGGATGGAATCATAATTCCACATTTTACTAGCTTGACGCCATTGGTCCAGTTACCTCCCTCTGCCTCAGACTTCCTCATCTATTAAATGGACATATTAGCACCTACCCAGGACTATTAGAAAGCATGGCACCCTAACCGGTTTGGCTCAGTGGATAGAGCGTCGGCCTGCAGACTGAAGGGTCCTGAGTTCGATTCCAATCAAGGGCACATATCTTGTTGCAGGCTCCACCCCGGCCAGGAGGCAACTAATTGATGTGCTTCTCTCACATCGAAATTTCTCTCTGTCTTTCCCTTTCTCTTCCAATCTCTCTAAAAATCAATGGGAAAATATCCTCGGGTGAGGAAGGAAGGAAGGAAGGAAGGAAGGAAGGAAGGAAGGAAGGAAGGAAGGAAGGAAGGAAGGAAGGAAGAAAAAAAGGAAGGAAGGAAGGAAGGAGAAAGCATGGCTGCCTGTGTGTCCGGGAGTCCTTGGCCGAAGCTGATTGGAGGGGGAGGGGGTGTCCACACATAAGCAGCCAGCCCATTGGCCAGCTGATAACGCCTATGATGGAAAGATGAGCTGAGGCCATCGCTCTCTCTGTGAGTGGGAAATGCAGAGAATGAGCAGAACAAGAGCAGCGATGTACTCACACGTCCCCACGGGGCTGGGAGGGTACACGGATGCTTCCATGTCCTGGCTTTTGAAAGGTCCCTTTGTTTGACTAATGAAGCCCTGTGTCCTGTTTCTCCAAACCACTCACTGTCAATGCGTTTTCCCGTCCGACATCCCCTGCGCACCCGTGAGCTGAGGGGAACGAGGACACTCACCTCCTGTCCTGATGAGAAAGCAGGTGCGCGGAGCAAAGGGACTTGTGGCCACGCAGAGGCCAGTCTGGCTCTGCATCGAGCTCCCTCCGTGACATCAGGCCTCTCCTTTCGCCCGGTCCGCCGGGCGTTCAAGAGGAAATCTTGTGCACTTTGTAGTGGAGTGAAAAGAAGCAGCATCTATATTGCCGTCAGCTCCGAGACGCGTTCAGGGTGGGAAATGTGGTACATCTTGTTCCAGCCTTTATTTAGTACGTGGTTCAGATCCAGGCCCTGCACACAGAACCGCCGGGGCTGGCTCTGGTCCCCGTGCCAGCGCAGCGCCCGTGCGCATGAGTAATTTCAAAAAGTGGGCAGCCCCTGAGCCCTGCCAGCTTTCCTCCTGATGGTCTTTTTCAGCCCGTTTAGTATGTTGGAATTCCTGAAAAACATCGGGTTTCTATGGATATTCCTCAGAGTGCGCACTGGGAGGTTGGGGTTGCGACCGGAACTGCTCCACGTGGCCTGCGCGCTGGGCAAGCCGGCAGCTGCTTCCTGCTTCACCTGGTATCCAGGACCCAACATGCTGCCCAAGGTGTTGAGCTGGGCAGCTCACTCACTCACTCAGCATCACTCGCTCAACGTTTACTAACTGCCTAGTGTGTGCTAAGGACTGTGCTAGATGCTGAGGCTACAATAACGATGGAGAGGTCCTACCCCATGACACGGAGCATATCGTTCGGAGTGAGGAATATACATCGATCGAGTCATCGTGCATGTAAACATGGGACTGCAAAGTGTGGGGCACAGTGACCAGGCTGGCGTTACGCAGCTGGTGAGAGGCAGAGCTGGGCGGGCACTGTCACCTAGGACCCACCGGCCCAGTTGTGGCCCTAGAATGAATGTGTCCCTTCCTGCTCCCAAGGACGCCTGGAAGGGGGGGGGGCGCTCTGGGAAGGAGGGAGGAAGGGACCCGCTTGTCTGGGGACTGGGAGGTGGGTGACCTGACCTCCAATGAGCAGAGTTTCTGAGCTGGAAGCCACCTGAGAGGCGGCCCCGGTGCCAGCGCAATGGAGAAGGTGTGGAACCGGATCTAGACCTTGGCAGGAAATGCCTGCAGACACATTGACTGGACCTCCTGGGAAGATCCTGTAGCTCCCTCCACATATACGGTGCGGGCGACGGGGGGGTGGGTAGGTATCGGCTGACCGGGCTGGGCCAACTGAGAGGGGACGCCGCCAGCTTCTCCTCTTCAAAGTGGGTGGGAAGCAAGCCAAGGTCGCAAGCAGGCCTTTGGAAGAACAGGAAGATAGAGGCACACTTACTGCTTTGCCTCATTCCACTGCTCCAACCCCTTAGAACTCAGAGGCGACCTGGAAACACACGTATGTGGTACCCTGTGCGTCAAAGCTGGCTGCTCCACCACAGGGTGACACAAAGGCCTCCTGAAGGAGGTGGGGGCTGGGGGCAGGGTGGCCATTGGCTGCAGTGGAGCAGGCATCTCCGGCAGAGGAATCACACGTGCAAAGGCCCAGGGGCAGAGTGAGCTCCTGGCGGTGGTTAAAGAAGAGTGTCCGCCTGGGGTTCCTCTTTAACCACTGGGAAGGTGAGCGGCTGGGCAGCTGGCTCTCATTTAGAAGCCAGGCTGCGTTTCCAGAGAACCACAGCTAGGGGTGAGGCTGGGGAGCAGTGTGGGCGGAGCACCCAGACTCCCTACCCACTGAGTCTGGGTCAGACAACCGGGTCAGAGCTGACCTCGCTGTTTGACTGGAGGGGGCACCTTTCCTTTCTGAGCTCGCTCCCTGCTCAGAGGATTGGAATCTCCAAGAGCCCATGAAGTTCTGACTTACCGCGTCCCTAAATCAACACGTTACCGAGAGCGTGTGGGTGGCTGACAGAGTCCAGAGAAGCCTAGCGGGTGAGGGTGGGGGACAGGAGGGCCCTGTCTGGATGGCCCAGACCTCTGGGAGAGGAGGGGCCTGCGAGTGTGCAGGATGGGGAGGGGCAAGCTCTGGATGAGGCTGATGGACCACCTGCAGCTGAGGGGAGGGCAGGGGATTCGGAGGCAAACCTGAAATGGCACCCTGCCCGCCGCCTGGGGAGGCCACCCCTCCCTGCGCCTCGCTTCACTTCCCGCGGTCCTCCTGACCCAGAATCCAGTGTACTTTCTGCCCCTTCTGTAAATACCTCCCTCCCGGCCTCTCCAGCTTAACCCAACCGCCAGCTGAATCTCACCCCTGGGTCCTCCTGCTCCCCGAGGCCGCTGAGGGAGGGAAGAGCATGCCCACCTGCCGAAAACAGTGCTGCGGGTCTAGGCACCCGGGAGGGAGACGAGCAGGGGTCCCTGTCGCCCGGCGCTGACATGCTGGCCACAGAGACAGCAACAGGTGGAACGTAGAGAAGGCGATGTGTGATATGGGAGAAGGACAGAGTAAAGCAGGGAGAGGGGATGGGCAGCGGCAATTTTAAATAAGGTGGTCAGGCGAGGCCTTGCTAAGAAGGTGACTTTTGAGCCAAGACTTGGAGAATTTGCGGGGGGCTGGCTCTGAGCCACAGTAGCCCCACAAGGCAGCCATTTTACAGCTGAGGAAACTGAGGGTCAGAGGGTGAAGGCATAGACGGAGATTGCTCAGCTGGTAACTGGTGGACCCAGGATTCAAACCCAAGTCTGCTGATTCTGAACCCACGCCGGGAGCATAATGGTTAGGGTTAGAGCAAGGAGGCCAGAGCTCAGGTGACTGAGAGTCGAACCTCAGCCTGACCAGGTCTTAGCTGAGCCTCAGGCAGACTACTTATCCCTCTGGGCCTTAGGTGAGGGGCATGATGGAGCCTCCTCTTGGAGAAGTGGAAAGGATTAGATGATACAGTGCACACAGTGCTTACAGAGTGCCTAGAAAGTTATCACCACCACCACTATCATCATCATCATCATCATCATCATCATCATCATCATCATCATCATCATCATCATCATCATCATCATCATCATCATCATCATCATCATCATCATCATCATCATCATCATCATCATCATCATCATCATCATCATCATCATCATCATCATCATCATCATCATCATCATCATCATCATCATCATCATCATCATCATCATCATCATCATCATCATCATCATCATCATCATCATCATCATCATCATCATCATCATCATCATCATCATCATCATCATCATCATCATCATCATCATCATCATCATCATCATCATCATCATCATCATCATCATCATCATCATCATCATCATCATCATCATCATCATCATCATCATCATCATCATCATCATCATCATCATCATCATCATCATCATCATCATCATCATCATCATCATCATCATCATCATCATCATCATCATCATCATCATCATCATCATCATCATCATCATCATCATCATCATCATCATCATCATCATCATCATCATCATCATCATCATCATCATCATCATCATCATCATCATCATCATCATCATCATCATCATCATCATCATCATCATCATCATCATCATCATCATCATCATCATCATCATCATCATCATCATCATCATCATCATCATCATCATCATCATCATCATCATCATCATCATCATCATCATCATCATCATCATCATCATCATCATCATCATCATCATCATCATCATCATCATCATCATCATCATCATCATCATCATCATCATCATCATCATCATCATCATCATCATCATCATCATCATCATCATCATCATCATCATCATCATCATCATCATCATCATCACCATCATCACCACCATCACCACCATCATCATCACCATCAGCACCATCATTATCACCAACATCACCATCATCATCACCATCACCATCACCACCATCACCACCATCATCATCACCACCACCACTATCATTATCACCAACATCACCATCATCACCACCATCACCACCATCATCACCATCACCACCATCATCATCACCATCACCACCATCATTATCACCATCACCACCATCACCATCATCATCACCA